TTGTGAACAACACAGTCAGTTCCTTAGCCAGAAAGTCACCACCATGTGATCAATCTGAGTCCAGGCATGAAATGCAGAGGGAGGACACCAGGTGGCACATCGGCGATGACTGTGCCGAAAGTTGGTGCTAGCCGTAAATAGGTTGTGGTCTGTGCACAGTTGCAGTAGACGGTCCCCGTTATCTGTCCTGCGACCAACGAGTCTCCATCGACCACCTAATCGATTCGCTTCTGTACCTAGACGCCCGACCTGAGCATTCAAGTCTCTGGTTAGTACAACAATATCTGTCGAACGCACTTTCTATAGAAGAACAGATAACTGGTGGTAGAATTCATCCTTGATTGCATCCGGGCTGCAATCTGTCGGGGCATAGGCAGATATGACGAAAAGACATCGTTTCTCACGGCGATTTCTTCTCATTTTGATGGAAATTTCTGATCCAACAGCACATAACCGACTGTTAATGGGGATCCAATCGATTAGTGCTGCCTCAGCTCTAGCGCTTTGTGCGACACCAACGCCAGCAAGACCAGACGAAGATGCCAAAAGGCCACCGGATAAACGCACGTAAAACAAGCTTTTTGAAGCGACAGATGGAGAGCGAATTTGTAGTACTTCACTAGAGTCTTTAATACGGGTCTCAGATAGACAACAAACGTCGATATCAAGACTTCCCAAAGACATAGCCAGCCCTATCTGTTGTCTGACATGCACTAGTGTGGGAACGCTGAAGGCAGCCAGTTTGAATGGTGCACGTGGTTTCAGAAAAACTGTTTCAGTATTCGTATTTGGTGGTATCATACAATTTTCAACCAGTCAGTGACTCGAAATCATGTAGATACAACCGAGTTTCCACCATAAGCGAGCTGTTGTATAAGTCGAAAAATAAGGATACATAAAATGGGAATAAAAGAGAGTGAATAAATGACGTAGTAAATAATAATAACAATAGTAATAATAATAATGTTAATCGAAGCAAGTGTAGAATTTTCCATAAGCATCGTCATTTCATTCTGTTTGTGTGTGGGTTGTGATACTTTCCGTGCACCCAGACCGAAGCAGGTGGTTTTCTTAGGGGCCACACCCCGAGCCTTTGACCTAAAGGTTTGACCCACAACGTAGTGGAGCATCGTGAGGAGATGCAGTCCCATGGTAGCCGGTGACTAACGATTGGTTCATACGCCATTCGTTCCCTCAGGATACTGGAGCCCATGTGCACCGACAAGATGATGAAGGTATATTCAGGTGGAAGTTTAGTTAATGCTTTGTATGTGCCGACGACTACTACGGACTCAGCTTACAATCTAGAATCACTTTATCCTCTAGTTAATCTCACCTTGAATTTATTCGATCAATATAATAGCATTTTGAAATCTATTTTCTTAAAAAGTTCATTTTGTTACACCCAGCAAGAAAATAGTTGTGATTCAAAAAGGCGTATAAATTCTCTGGTTATGTAAAATCTTTCCGTAAAATATATAAACATTCAACAAAGGTGGTCAGGTTTTACAACAATCCTTCTCTACTTACGAAATATACATATGTACACTAAAACACTGTTAAACAATAAAGAACTAAATACTTTTTAGAATTAATAAAGTAATAATGGTGCATACATACACTTCATTACTTCAAGTTTGATAATCGCAAGGAAATAACCATACTACTAGGACTATTGCTCATGAGTTAAATTGTTTGAATCAATATTGAGATTTACAAATTAGTAATTGATACTCTAGTGTTAAATTCATCAATACAGAAAGATTAAAAATTGAATATAAAATAGTAACGACAAAATGAAAAATGTTTACTACATTAAGAAATAATTTAATTTTTAAAAATAAATAAAAGTGGCGTTTTCTATGCTTATCCCTTTATTCACTACATAGTAGCTCATATGACTTATGTATACACTTTGTTGTTTAATTAGGAACTTTCTAATCAAATATATGACACTTTATGTTTCACACTAAGCACACCTTACTATTTATAGTCATTGTAATTGATTATCTTATTTGTTTCAATTGGATACATTCACATATTATTCATAAAAATTCAACAAATACTCACTTCCTTTTTAATATCCATTTTCAATAAACAGGTGGATAGATGTAGATTGATACAACAATAATTTGATTATCATCGCCTTGTTAATTTTTTGTTACACTTGTAAATTATTATAATTTTTCTTAAAAGTTACATCATGTTAATTTTGCTAAGTCTATATGCAGTCTCAAAAAGGATGGAATGCTCATCGTTGATTCTTGTTTTCTTCGCTAGTCCACTTCAGTTAGAATATACACCTTCAAACCCCTCAACTGTTGCGCAGGTAAAATGGTTGTGAATTATAACAGACCCTTTATGTAAAAGCTAAGTGGTCTGTACACAAATCATGCTTTATATACATATACCTCTCCCGAAAAATTCTCCTGTCATTCAGTTGAAGTGAGACTACCGATTCCACTGCTATCCACTATCCGAAATATAATAAATAATTTTTAGTTCAATGAAGTGGCTTTTTAGTGTAAATCGCATTAATGTATCTTGGTAAGCCATTACAGTTCCATGTAATACTCCTTGAATACCACCAATTATATAGTAGATAAAATTGCATATCAGTGTTTCAAACTGTAACAGATGAAACGAGATTTCAAAATAGATAACAGTAATTAAAATTGAAGCTCCTAAGACATATTCACAACTAATTCTTTAAACAGTAACTTAAATAATATACTGCTGAAATGATGAAGTTTTCTTAGCTGCAGTTAATATATTTGCCACTGTTGGTTTCGCGGCTCGTCAGTTTAGTTATAAAGTTTTTGTGGTCGTTCTGGATAACAATTTCAGTGCCTCTTTCAAACAGAGGAGTGTAATTTATAATTACTCCGCAAGTATCAAATCATTTTCTTCTGATCAACCAGTTACTGACTGATTGTTTTCACATAGTAATCGAAATGAACTCATCACTTATGGCTTAATTCCTAATATTTTGTTCTAATTCAAATAAGTTCTAATAGTTTCCAGAACTATAATTAAACTTCTGAAGTCAGAAGATACATCACTGGCGAGTAGTTCGTCTATTTTATCTTGGTGACTTTTGCCGACGAAACACTACTACACGTGCGCTAAGTTGTTATACAACTGAATATATTTGTGCGTTTTATTTCATTTTATATATTCATAACTGTTCTGTAGAAAGGTATTATAGCATGTTTTTCGTATTGTTGATGTTCTGAAATCTCAAAGGAACTTGACTTCTCTCAGAGATTTGAATTCATCGTCTAACATTTCAGTCAGTAAACTATACAAAATTAAACTAATTCCTTTATATTATCATATTCTCATATATAAGTTTGATCACTGATAGAATCCTCTTAGCTTCTTTTTGTTTGAAATCACATAAACATTTATCAGTAGTTGAACTGGTTTAAAACTGTTGTGAATTAATCCATTAAAACAGTTTCATTTATTTTATATTATTTAATGACAAGTATTATACATCAATTTGTTCGTCGAAAGCATAAATTTCAATCAGTTTATAAACACACTTTTTATTACAGTCTATTCTACCCATTATTAATATGAGAATATTTAATCATAAAAGTTATTCCATAAATATTGCAGTGTTTATTATTATTAAAAGTGTAGAAATTAGATTCATGCAATTAGTTCTTTTTATGGATTTAAATAAGGCTTTATTTAATTAAGTACATCATTTACAAATAAAATTTATGTTACATTAAAATGTTCATCATTGGAATTTTTTAACTAAGAAGAAATATCACTCAACAAAGGTTGTCAATAATCCTTAAAATCAAAAGATAATTATTGTTTTAAACAATTACATAATCTTGTAAATATGTCCACATTGAATTAATAACCCAATCAAAAATATTTCAAATAAGTTACCACTGTTTTAAACAAACCAAAAGTAATAAGAATCTCTGACATAAAATGTAGACATATAAATTGATTTTTTTTAGTGTTTGCTTAATATAATGATAATTACTTTCAATCATAAAATATATCTTCTGTTCCCGTGGTTGACAGATATGTTATAAGACGTTTTCAAACTGACAGGCATCAATAGGATAAAACCTAGTACAGATATACGTTAGCCCAAGTTGCCATATCTCATTAGCACAACAAGATGATCACAAAACGGATAAAAATAGTGTAGTAGTAGTAATGTTAACAAGAAATACTAAACCTTAGTAATATGGCTTGAAACGACTGGAAATGTTTGCATGAGTGAATACTGGAATTCAATATCGGAAAGTAAGATAAAGAATGAATGCATCTGCACTGTTGTGAATGACTATCAGCCATGTTACTCAAATTCTCCAATTATTGGTTACGATACCCACGTGGACCCAAACCAGGTGGTCTGCATCTATTAAGATTGCTTAGACCAACAGTCAATGACTGATCCCACTTTTAAGTTTGCCCGCCCCCAAGTTTCTTCCAATCTATATGTATTAAAGTAGATTTTCCAACAGGTGTGATTAAGAGTCTAATATACAGTAAAATAACTATTTAATTATTGGATCACATTAAATTAACCTGGACATTTATCAGCTATTCGTATGTCAATGCTATATTGACAGAAATCCTAATACTTACGCTTTCCACAATCGAGTAGAAGCATATATTCACAGCCTTCATAGATGAAATAAATACTTGTTTTCAAATCTTAGCATCACTTACCATTTCGTCTTCTATATTTACACAAAAATATACCGCTAAATCTATCCCATTCCTTGAAGTAAAGTCATCCAAAGGAAGAACTTACGTTCATTTATCTTAATAACCTCTATTTGAAAGTCTAATTTCCAATTTGTTGCCAAGTAATTAATTATTTCGTGCAGTGTCAATAGCTTATAATTTTGTTTTCACTGTGATCAAATCATCTGACGTCAACGTCTGTGTAAAATATACTATATCATGTTCGGGTCTTTTACTAAAATTTCAATCGTCTTTTCTTTAATTGATGTATTTAGTACGGCACCTGATGCTGGAATTACACAAATTTTAGCCCAACTTTATGAAGCTTCCAAAAGATTGCACGAAGCCTCAACCAATACTAAAGATCCAGATACATTAGTTGTCAAACCGCCTCCTAGATCGAATTCTGCTTCTAGTACTTACTCAAGAAATGATCAAAACAGTTATTTGTCAGCCAGTTTAACTGACCCTCTCTCAGCAAATCAATTTCTTGCACAGGACCAATGGCAAGGTCCTAAGCAATCTAGAGTGGATAATTCGTACGAAATGGAAAGAAATATTAGAATCGAAGTAAGCTCTTTATGATATTGATCATATCATTATGTATCAGACAATTGGAATGCAATTGTCATCAAAATTTAGTTGTTGTCTTCTATTCTAAAGCAATTTGTACACATTTGTGTCTGTGAATATTCCAGTTTACTTTTGAAATGCTATCATACATTTCGAAACGAATTTATGTTATTATTCCTTTGTAATGTGGTATAATGTTTCTTCCCCTTGATATAACCATATTTTGCTTACAATTTAACACGAGAAATATTTCAAAGTTAAACTCATTTTAGTGAAACAAATTTTATCATTAAAACAATGATAATAGTTCTCAGTCGGTTTTATTACACTTTAATGTCATTATAACTTGAGAAAATATCTTCCTTATTCAATGTATTCTTGTTAATTTATATAGTTTTATGACTGTACAATTATTGGAAATGTTACTTTTGATACATAAATTGAACATTAATTGAAACTCATCATTTTATATCTTCGATCATGTTTATACATGTATATGATCATACAGTGAATGATTCATAGCCTTATCTTAATCGAAGCTGCACAAATTCAACTTTCTGATCATCACTGATACACTCAAAGGTACTAAATATGTTTGCGATTCCTGATTTTAATTCTGTAACACGGTTAACATTAAATAAGTTACTGGAATTAATCCAAACATCTTGGTTATATTTATTGTTTATAAAAGCGTTGGCGGAAATATGTTTACATAATAAACTTACACAAAATTCATAATTGTAAATGAAACTATCACGAATTGAACTGATCGTCATCATGGACTGAGATTAGCGTGAATACTACTGAAAAGCATGTCTATCATAGTATGAAGCCAGTGACCCATATATCTAACTTCTGTCAATTTATAATATAACACAACCATTATCTAATTTTATCAATCACATTTGTCTCAATTACGATCTGCTAATTAGTGGCAAGTTGTGGAGGGTGAATATCTGAAGTTTTATTAGGAAATTGTGATTAGTGACGCTCAAAATTGGAACAGATACAACCAATGACATTGAGCAACTATCGCGGCTTATCGCTAATTGCTTGGAGTTGCGAATATTGACCATTTTGTTCCAAGTCAATGTTCTTAACGTTAAGTGTTCATCATGGGTTGAATCGTGTGTAGGGTCTTGAGTATATACTACTGAAGAGCCTCAGACTGTGACGAAGCAAGTTGTCCAGTGCATACTTTAAATTCAACTTCTCTGCGCAGACCATCGAACTAGATTAGGATTTTTAATCTTAGATATTTAATCTTTCTAGTACGTAACAGAGAATGTGACTGGTTGTTTTTGCAACGAAAAATAAATTATATAGTCTGTTTTATTCAGTTATCTCTATTTACAGATTTTTAAAACACAAAACATCGTATTTCATAGCTTTTTGCCTGTAAATATCTACACCTTATACAAATACTCCGTTTATCACATCGATTACTTTGACTTGTTTCCTTCATTTTGTAGAGTGGAAGTGGAAATCAACCGAATACTTTACAATATCCAGATAATTCTCTCTCCCAAACTTACGAGCAGTCATCGAGTCAATTCAATAATATATTTACTGACGACCTTCAAAGTAAAAACGATCCTCGTATGTACGGTTCTGTTATGAATGCTGACACTAAAAGAACAGGACTTAGTCAAGGTACAGATTTAAATAGGTACTATGATCAAAAATCTGCACAACAATGGCCACAGAAATCTAGTGGGCATAATAATTGGGGTAATGTTGATCATCAAAGAAATAAATGGAAATCTAGTGGTTCCACAGACTTCAACATACCAATTTTTCAAGAACTCACAACCGAATTGGGACTTTTAACAACGGAAATGACGACAACGACAACTATGACGACGACGTTTTCTCCAACTACTGTCACAGCTTCCACTGTGTTACTAACTAATTCCACGAGATTAGTTACAACATCAAGTGCATTAGAAAAACCAAGTGATTTATCATCACTGGAAGTGAAGGATATTGTTACGGAAAGTGTTACAAGACAAACACCTCTTACTGTCCGGACAGATTCTGCATTAGATAGGCATCCACAAACTACAACACAACGTTACATAGACCCAACGTTGAAACCAGGCACATACACGGAATCACTTTTACCGTCAACTGACCAATCAAGCAATATTGGGTTTTTGCCAGACGACGAGGACAATACTCAAGTGATCTCAAGACAAATGCCTTATCAAACACCTGATTCTCAAAATATTAATTCTTGGCATCAAACCTCTGAGGTTTCTCAACGTTTTGGTGAAGTAAGTTTTTGAATATTTGGATATTGAAGACAACACTTATGCAGTTTATTCTCTTTCATTCCTTATGACAGATCATGAGACAGTAAAAGTGTAGTCTCTATACTTTAGTTTATAATATTTACCTATGTGGTGCATATGATTTCGATACAATGGTTTGTTCTGTTCTAGCATCTTTATCCTGGACTATTATAAATTGTCTGTAAAATATTAATAGGTTGCATAACTCATAAGATCAATATTTTAACTTGGCGACCGACCGAGTCGATTAAGGTCATGACATCTAATATTTCAGTAATGTAACAGCTAGTGATGTCCTCAGGGAAGTCATGAAAACACCTAATTATTTCATACCAGTTTCGTGGTACTGATATGATGTGGTAACTTGAAGCGATACATATATGTTCCAGGTTCTGTTCGACTATTGATCACTTTAATCTATGATTACCAATAAACCCTTCACTTCGTAACAAGTTTGATATTACTAAGTTGAAATACGTTTTGTCTGTATGGTATAGTGTATATTTTTAAAACTAGCCACGTTAAACATCTAATGTGGTATTCTTTTTATGTGTAACCATATATATATATATATATATATATATATATATATATATATATATATATATATATATATATATATATATATATATATATATATATATATATATATATATCGCTAACAAAATTTGGTAACTTTCCTTTGAATATTTTTTTAATTCTTATTAGCGACTTGTATTGTATACAGAATACACTTCAAAACTTTATTGTATAAGGCTTATCCGTAAACAACATGTCGCTCATTGAACAGTCTTTAAGTTTCATTTATTTTTGCACACTTAGTAGTCTTAAAATTAGAGGCTGGTTTTCGTGGAATCTATCTACGCGTAAGCGATTCAGCTCTTCACCTGGAAATTTGTATTCTGTGATTATACAATAAAATACTATAGATATTGTTCAACATGCTTCTTACATACAATATAGTACGAAATATAATATTGTCTTCCCATCCTAATTAGTCAGAATCTGAATAGGAAAATCTATCTACCTAAATGTGTAAATTTCACCAGTGCAATAAAAAATAATATGAATGAATAGCTAGCGATCACAATAATCGGTTACCTCAAAATGTTAAACTAAGATGCTTTTCGAGATTCTAGGTCTTCTGTTTAAAAGACAAGATTAAAGTAGTTGTGCTACCTTGCCGTATTTTACATTGCTAAGCTTATAGTTCAAAGAAGCGAATGATACTACGAGCAAAAGTAACCGCTCATAGATGCATCATAAATTAAACTAGTTACCAAGGATTTCACTGGTTCCGGAACATACGTTTACTAGATACCATATCACGTGACCTGATGCACTGTTTTATTTTTATTTATAGGGCTCCGGAAATCGAGGCAGTGGTAAAGCACCATCAGTCCTTACACCACAATATCAAAGGACACAAAATTTATGGCCACAGTCCGGCAGAGAATCGGCAATCCCCAACGCTGCAGATACGCGTTACAATGAAGATTTTATTGGTCCCCAACCAGACAAAAATCTAGCTTTCTATCCAAGCACCCAAGAGCCAGAAAATCGAGGGGATGAAGAAGCTTGGAACGTTTCTCCCGATAAGTTAGCTTCAGGGTTTCTAGAAGGAGTTAGTGGAATGAGCCCCAACATAGAGTGGAATGAGGACAAAGACGATCACCACAGTAAGTGTCTTAAACCTGTTGTGACACACATAATTTGGGATGAACTTGGTATCTGTTAATTCTTCAAACGAACAAACTACGTTTGTTTCGTTCGCTCGTTATTATAGGAGCAGATAATTTTCATGTCCAGTTAATTATTATTTCGCACCTAAGACCGATGACTTAATTAACAATCATTTGGCATCCAACAACTGAAACCGTAACCCGTATCGGAACTTGAGTTTCTTTAGACCAATTTTCAAGACGAAGTTATCAAACAAACCTTGTCTGTGTTGTTCAGCAGTTTGTTGTGTGACTCAATTCGCACATTAATATAGAGAAAGTTCTTGACCGCATATCAACATAAATTGGAAATCGTAATGTGCGTAGAATTACTCTATAAGTGAAAGAGAACTGAGTAAAAAATTTGTAACTTAAGAAAGGCAATAATAATTTAAACCCTGAACGGAGAATATGAGCATGAAATAATCTAAATGCCTAATAATTAATTCAAAGCTCTCTTATGATGTACCCTGTTACAACAATATAAGTTTCCAATTTTTGTTAATCTGAACCGAGTTTTTTTTCATTTCAGCAGGCTCGTCACAGTGGCAAGGTGCATCGGGAAGTAGTAGGAGTGGCAACACAGTTCCGGAGGATACACCCATACTGCAACCCCCAACTCAGCCAACGCAACCACCTACTCCACCACGGGTCGATAATATTCCGGAGATTCTTCCACAACCACCCCTGCCACCCCCAGAAGTGTGGGTACCAGCAAAGTTAAGCCCCGGACAGCCAGTGCCACCAATATTGCTAATACGAGAATATAGTGTTGAAGGTCCCCTATACGAAAAGGAAGACACTGTCTCACATACCTACAACTCAGCATCCCACCAACAGTTAATCACGTCTATATTTTTACCTCTAATCACTATATTTATCCTTTAAACCGAACAATGACTTTCTCAGTTACATTTTCTTGAAATGTACATAGGCACGTTTGATAGCCTTTGCTCAAAATGTATTTACATGTATCTTGTTAACATTTTGAATTGCTTGTGTTCTCTTAATATTCATTTTTACTCCATCGATCTAAAGCTTTGCATTTATACAAGGTCACATGTTTAAAAATATATGATATCCTACACAGACCTAAACTCGCATTTACATTTTTTCCAGAAAATCTAAGCATTAGAGAAAGGTGACTTGGCGTAACAAAATCATTCTTTGCACTTAAAAAAAACACAAAGAAGTCATTAGTATAATATAATGAGGTTATATTTCGACGTTTGTTAAAGGGTCTTCTGATGCAACTGCGGAAGCTCCATTTATAGGGACCCACGGTTTATTTGAATCCAGAACACAACGGAAGATCAGTGGACCAAGTTCAAACCAACTTAGGGAGTTAGGACAGTGAAGCCTTAAGCGGTGCACAGCAATCTGACCTTCAAAGTATGTTTCAGGTTCTTGCTCAGGTGTTGTGGACCTAGCTCGCATTTCTTCAGATGTTATTTGCGTATTCACAAAAGCCGGGCGAACGTATGGGAAAGGATCTATGGTCAGGTAACCCCTTTCTGGGTTGAATACGTTAGTTATTTCATCTGAACCTACACAGTTTAGGCGTAAAAGTCTTAACGCAGGAACAGGTCCACGTGCTTTCCAACTTATACGAGCAGGATTTATTTGGTTGGTTTTGATATTGAAGATAACACCCAAAATAGCAGGCTGTGATTTTCCACCACTAGAGTTAAGGATGTTATTTTCACCGACACAGCATACCCCAAGTTCATAATTGTGATTACTACATATTAGCGATGAAAGTATTTCAACGAGTACAGAATGTGAAATGTTTTGTGGATCTGGAAAACCCCCGACTATGTGGACTGTGACATTAACACTTTCTTTCGAAAAGAAGAAATGTTCAGAATTTCTGAAAAATGACCTGGCGCGCAATGGAGTATCCAGATGTCCTATAGAACAACCAACCGGACAACGCAAGACGACAATGTAACAGGACGTTGCATCATCAGAAGTCGTGTATTCTGGAATGATATTGTTTGCAGGTACATTGGTGACCAGTAATGGTATAGTGGCCATTTCACCTTGATGGACGTAAACTGAGGAAAGACAATCCTTAACGTCGATTAACTCCCTTTTTTTGAAATCATCCGCGATACTCTTAATGAATGAACTTGTCGAGAACAATTGAGCGAATACGTATATCGACGACTTTTCGCAATTATATCTCTTCCCATCGAAATTAAGCACCATTCACTCTTCAAGCAACCTAAAACTAATGTTGAATAAAACATCAGTAATAATCTAAAGCGATAAAACCATAGAATTATGAATTGTTAGCAATTTTTTTGTATTTCAACAGTGTACAAACTAGCGAGCAAAAGGTTATTATGAAAATAAGGCCTTTTCTAAGAGAACATTTGGGGAATTTATACACCATGTACAAGATTAATGATAAACCCTCAGTTATTTACATCTGAAAGTGTTAAGTATGTAAAAGTTTTATACAAAATAAATTAAGTAGATCATAATATACAGATCGATTTGATCAAGACCACCCATTTAACTGAATATGGTTTGTTTTTGCAACCACCTGATTCGATTTTTGCAAAACAACACGACCTTTCGAATCCTCACTTTGCAGCAACCATGTTCGCCAATCACTTAGTAAAAAATATAAACATGATCTTCTGAATCTCAAAGCTTCTGACATCAGCATCGAAACCACAGCTTCTCTTTGTCCAATTGAACCAGCGAGTTCATTCATGCGGTCAAATAACAGTACTGCATCTACTAAGTGGAAAAAATTAACAGTTAGATAATGTAAACGAAAGAACTAAAAGTTCTTGTACATACAAACTTACCTGTATAAGGTTGTCGAACCAAATGAATTAATTCGAACATAATTTTCTTGTTTAATTTAAAACTTTCCAATGACGATGCACTTCTAGTATCAAAAGTATTTGTTTTTTCAATAATTGCTTGGTTGGTAAGTCTTGAGTGGTTTATTAAAGAAGGGGAATTGTCGGCATATGTGGGAGATGAAATCGCGTTTGATATTTCCTCACTGGAAGTATTATCCAAAGATCTGGGCGATGACAGCGGTGAAGATTTCGGTGAGAAAACACGCCAATTTAAGTGATTAATGTACGGAGGTAAAGGACCTAAAAAAAATGTTGACTGGCTGAATTCTATCTTACCTTTGACTCTTGCTTGAGAATTTTTGGTGGTTTGTGCAGACTTTTTTCGCCCAAAATTGAGCAAAACTGTATTCGGATTACAAGAATTAACTTGCAATGAATCCATTTCATCAACGAAACCTTCATCCGCGACGAAGGATGTAGACTTCCGTCGGAAAGGGTTTCCGAATGTATCCGACCGTTCAGGAGTTGGATTTATCTCCCTCAAAGGTGTTTCGACGTGCCGGGAATTTCTGTAGTTAACATAATCACCCATTAGGGCGACTGGTTGTTGATGAATCAAGTCAACTGCTCGGATGTTAGATGAACCATTTAGGAGGTTATCAAGTTCATGCCTCATTTTTCCCAAAACTACGCGCAACTTGGTTCGAGATATATTACAAGGTCGGAGAGAATTTGAATGAAGACGCTTAGGTTTGATATACATCGATTTAAATTCACGTAGCGGCCACAAAGGTAAAGGCAATAAAGCTGATGGTAACTAAAACAAAACAAATAACTAAGGTATTTACTTACAGTAACAGTTGTGTTTGTGGGGCTGTCAGTTTGTGTCATACGCACGAAGTTATCGTATTCAATTTTAGCTGAATGCCGAAGCTTTTGCAAAGAATGTTTCAATTGATAAGGAAGTGCACGATCAATAGCTTCAGGCTTAATCATCCCGGCAAACCCTATTCGTTCAAACGCCTTCGCTAGGGGCTTTAAAAATCAGTAAAATCGCAAGAAAATTACCATAAAGTAATATTTCGGTATGGTTCCTAGATAGTTCACAAACTGATGACCCCAGGCTTCCGTCATACGCTTATGATCACATATATCACCTTAAAATTTTATAACATATGCTGTGACTTACCAAGTAACTGAAGAAATACAGGATAATTGTAAGGAAGTATATGCAGATGTACTGACTGGAGATCATGTGATACTTTTAAATAACCAAACGGTGCATTCTGACTCTTTTTGATACCATAGCTGAAACACCGCCAAACCATATTTTGCTCCGACGAATTTAGAAACTCTTTCGTAAAATGTGATGGAGTCAACTCATAACGGTCGACGGGGAAATACTCGGGCAACTCAGGTTCCACCACAGGAACTTTAGATACAAGAACTTCAGGATGTGCACTTCTAGGTGGCTTCAATGGAAATATAAAAATACTCTCGACATACCAACTGTAATGCTAGCATCTCATCATCAGGCCAAAATTGTTCTGGGATAGGCCAAGATGATGACCTTCCCATTAGCTTAACTGACATCAACTGCTTTACGAATTTCTCTTGAGGAGCCGCATCAACGCAGTCAGTAGACCTTCGTAATTTTAAAACCACTCCAGGTTGGCATTTTGTGACAAGAGAGTCGAGACATTGGTGGAGTTCCCGGCCGTCGTAAACATCAAAACTTTCGCCGCCAGTTTCTTCCGCAAGTCTTTTAAGCGGTGAGATTTTTTCTGATTTTATGGAGCTACCACCATGATTATTACTGACAAATGCGGGAAAACGAAGTACCAGAGAATACATGCGATAATCCCAACGGAAAGTCTCTTTTGTCAAAACATTTCCAAGAACGGCAGATTCTATGGAAGTTATAGATGCATCCTTTTTAACATAATTAAAGAAATATGTCAAACTTACATTGAAAATTTGGCCATCAAAACTGTATGAGCCTATGCTAGTAGTAATACATATTATTACAGAGGGTTCAATACATGATGGATAAATCCCCTTAAAAAATATCAAGTGATAAATGTTAAATACCATCCCATAATTTTCCAGTCCGAGTTGCAATCTATTTATGTTTAACATTCGGAATGTTCTTTGAATACCAGTTGACAAATCAACTAAACCGTCTGGTTTTATATTATTTAAGGCAGAATGAAGTAACTGAAGATCAACATTCTGTTTCCAACCGGTAAGCTACAACAATTAAGAAGATTGTGATGACATACTTTGACATAACTTATGTCAGAATTCAAAGTAAGCACAAAATAACGATCTACTCTTGATTTGCTCATCCTTATCTACCAGTTAATGTAATTAAGATTATTCCATAAACAAACTTTGAAGAAAATCTCTATAGCAGATTTTGCTACGTCTAGTAGCGTAGTGCCTTGAAAAGTGCGCTGGTTCATTGATGCGCTGTTGTCAAGCAGAAAAACAATAATTGTCATCGCCAGCTGCTCAAGGTCATACGGGCAAACCAGCCAATCACAAGGCCACAACCGCAACGCATACAGTAAAGCGCAGCGCTCCTAATGCTATGATTGCCTGACACTGCAATATATATTATATCGAGCTAACAATATTGCATCCTGATTGGTCAAAATTTAAAGCAGAGGCTCATATGGATGTATTTGGTAAACACGCTGTTATTTTGTCATAAGGTCTAATTTTTCTTAAATTATGGAACTAAATAACGATAGATAATATGCGGAAACAATATCTTTTGTCAGTGATACATATTTTAAGTTTTAATTTATTCAATAATGTATTCGCTAATTATTTTTACTCTTTATGAGCCTCTAATCAATCATATCTATAGATGTGGGCCGTATGACTGAATATATTCATCTTTTACTAAAAAGACGAAGTGTAATAATTCGTGTTCTATAGTCGTTATTTTGATTTATATCTCTAGTTCTCATCCTTTATAGTATATTGATCTATAATTATTTGGCAACATTATGGAAACATCAATTTACTTGTACTTACTGTAGGAACTGCTTCCATGGTAATATCAGTTTTTTAGACTTATAAATTAATAACTCTCAGCTCAAAGAAAGAAAGTTATTTTTTTTAATTTTCGTTTGGTTTCAGAATTCGAGCATTAACGTTCATATTGATATTGGAGTTTTAAAAGTAATAATTTCTTACTTCTAAACGTGTCTGCATTTGAAATAAAAGGAATCATATCAAGTTTCTTTTTCTGCATATAAGTGACAGTGGAGATTATATCTCTATTACGATGTATTGGTAAGTTATTTTCATTCATTGAATGATACCTTAGATCTTAAATTAATATGACCATGAATTTAAGTAATCACTTTTCTCTGAGAGAATTCTAAAGTAGCCTTGTGATGAAGAATTCAAATATCGTTAACCATACGTAGCTACTTATAAGTAGTAGGAATGCTATTTGAAAAATCAACAACCTGGCGTTTCCAGTCATTTGTTCTCATTGATTGTCTACAGTCGTCCGTTTTTGGTAAGCATCTTTTGATTTTCATTGTCAAGTGTACAGACTTCCTTATTTGATATACTAAGCTGACCTACAATAAGGGAATGATTAAAAGAAGACTGAGTTTTATCTCACGACAATGATGTTTAATCTATGTGTGCGTTTATCAAAGTGTGAGTGAACACCTCCTTAGAAAATGAACTTCAAGCATGTGGAGAACTTTAAATTCAAATTCACTTTATCTGAATTAAACAACCATTATATAAACCTGACTATGAATCATGAATTTTGAATTATTATATTAATCAATTTTATCTGTGGTAGTCTTTAAAATATTTATAAGCCTTATAAGATATCTATATCTCCATATAAATCACATCACTTGTCTGAAAATTAAAGCTAAATAAACGAGAAGTGTTTAATCATTGATTCAAATATCATAAGTGTTTGAAATATGTGTACCTTTTTGTCCATATTCTATCCAGTTTCTTAATTATTCACTACACTAATTTTCCAATATAAGCAAACACAAGAAAAAAATTTTCATCTATTTAAAAATGAATATCCTCTGTAAATTGTTAGTTTCAAAAATAGATTTTGATTATCATAAATTATCAATGAAGTACATGAAAATAATATTACAAGAAGTTATCTCATCAGATCACTACAGTCATAGTGAATAAACATAGTAAGATCATTAACCACTTATCAAAAACACTGAATGATGATTAGATTACTCTGTAGACATTTCATTCCAGGTTAGAGAGATTTAATGGTTGCAGAAAATGATATTTCGAGACCCTGTGTTGACAAACGATCAAAAAACTGCATAAAATCAATTTTACCTATCAAATTTTCAGTTAATCGTATTCTTCCTACATGGTTAGGTTTCAGGTATATTATCACAGTTATCTTCTCTAAGTCGCTCTTAAATATAGTGGAACAATGAAGCAATCCTGAGGTTATATTTAAGATGATGTCTTTATAAACTAAAATAGCTGTAATATGTTACGTATGCCCGATAACTGTCTATCTCTACGTACAATATTGGTTCGAGTAAAAGTAGATTAGCCCCCAAACGAAAACATGGCATGAGTTCATGAAATCTTTAGCTTCCGGACTGTTTTCCGTTAGTAGATGCATAGGATTTGGTTGGGTTTCGCATGAAAATCGCGATCAGTGTTGGAAAACTTTAAGTGACATGAATAAGAATCGGTCGCAATAACTCATATATATCCACTATTTTCAACCACTACGTTTTTAAATTTAATTGGCGTTGTTTGCTTGTATCTTCCTATTGTTGTTTAGGACTGCAGTTGATCAGTCTCTTGTTGGTATATGTGCATTCTGTGCGGATTACCTCGATATTTCCTTAAGTCGCAAACTTTATAAGCAAAGATGGACATTGGCTAGCAGTGGAATCCAGGACGCTGGTTTTGTCCTATTTGAGACTCTTCAGCTGGATATGCCTGCATCCCAGAGTTGATGTTCACTGCGGGACTCAAACCCAGCACACCCCATTGCACAAGCAAGTGACTATCAGGACTCAGTAGCTAAGTGGATAACGCGGTGGCGTTTGAAGAGAATGGTATTGGGTCCGAGTCCCGGATTGAATATCAACTCTGGGGTGCAGGCACATCCAGCTGACGAGTCTTAAATAGAACTTAACAAGCATCCTGGATTGCATTGCTAGCCACTATTCATCTTTGCTTATGAAACACTACGTTTTTAGTTTCAACTTCGTCTAATAAATACCTTCTTTTCATTCTGTCTTTTCGAAACATATTTCCGATGTTTACTCTTTCTAACCATCATTTATTTTACTAACAATTCAACCCATTTTTACTAATCTTGTTAATTTCATCTCTTTGTGCTGATGTGATATGAAAACATATGTTAACGCTAATCTTCCCCAGACTCTACACCGGCTATTACTTGAATAGACAATAGCTATAAGTGACGGAAAATCCTTCCCTGTTAAGAATAATAATGTGCTAGTGAATATGTATTCTGTTGTATTGCCATTGTTAGCCTACCTCTATAAATTACATTGTCAACCTTTTTGAGTAATGTGCTTTGAGACTCTTCCGGCAATTCACCTCTGTATACATTCAGAAATTTGCATTGCGAAGATAAGTATATTTTTTGAGAAACAGCTGTTTGTTATCAAGAGAAAATTCGTGAAAATACAAATAAAAAGTATCTATTGAGGAGAGCTATTTTTCTATCGAGTGTGAAAATTATTAGCATTGATGTAAATGAGTCTTTTGATAATATTTATCATCTAACTTCTTGTTTACTTGTTTATACTTATATGCTTTCAGTTATTAAAAGATGCAGGACACATTTTATTCAAACTTTAGGTTAGACATGAACACCGTTGGATCAATCAATTCATGATCTCATTTACAAACGTAATGATCTCCACAAACCCATACTGATAATTAATCTTACATTCAACGAGACCTCAACATATTCTGTAAGTGTTCAGATATCAAATTTATACACATTAGAATACCAATTTATAATGTTTAATCCTTATTCAAAGACAGTTGCTTATTCTCATAACTTCGACTTTCCGTTGGAACTGTTCACTTCTTTCTGTTTAATGTGTTCGAAATTCAAAGGAAGGAAGACGATAGATTTCCATTTCCTATCACTAGGTTAGAATTCCATAGTGGATACTTTTTAATTTGCGGCACAAAATAATTTATTACTGCCTTCTAAAACCCTTCTGAGTACTTAATTTATAAATAGAATTGATTTAGTAAATATCACTTACTTTTTCATTGAAAAACCTAATAGCTAGTTTCAGTGGATGACAGTAAATATATGTTATGACAGAATTTTGGTAATAGGATTCCAACGTAGTAACCTCATTATAATTAGTTTCTGTTGCTCCAGATCTCATGAGTAACTACTTCTGAAACAAGATGATACAACTAAACACTTTTAAAAACTTGAAATTAGTTATTCTTGTTTTATTTTCATCTTGTTACATGTTTGATTAATACATGGTGTTTTCAAACAGGTATGAACATGATTTCTAGAGTCTCTAAAAAATCATATTACAGCAATATCTTATGGATAATGTAGAAAATTATATGGATCTTATGTTTGGGTTTATCTGAACCTGTCTGATCTCAACACATCCATTATAGTGCAACCTGACATCAATATTCTTCATGTAGTCAACTTTTTGAAGAGTACATTTTATGGATTACCTCAAACCAATATTAGCTAATAGTCGGTTGTTGTAATTCAAACTTTTTATCATTAATTTTTTTAACAACTAACAAGGTTGTTACGTTTAATTGTAAAAAAATGAATTTCAGCACTTTAAACGTATTCTAAATAAAGAGAAGGTTATTTGTTTTATAATCATTATCGCAGTGTTCTATTTTCAATACTTTTAACTATAAAGAATTCATTGTTTGTTCAAATAACACTACCAGCATAAATTTAAACAATATATTAGGATGATTTATAATGATACTATGTAATTTATATCTGCTGATAAAATACATCTTATGTATAAAAGAGAACATTTTCACTAAGATAACTCTCTTAAGGATCATCGTTAGCTTTTTGGATCATAGTGAGTCTCGAAACCTTATATGTATGTCTCATCCCATTTGGGTCTCATCGGTTGAGCGTACCCGTTTCCCAGTGTTCATTTTCACGCTACTTTGAATATAGCACTTCATTTACGTCCAGTCTACATGTTTATTTATAAACATTATACACAAAGGAGAAACGAAATAATTCAACTAATAATGACAAAACAATATGACATTAAATGAATGAAAAATGATCATTTTTAATAGTGAAACAGATAACCTGTACACTTTTTTTATGTAAGATGATTCATTTTCTCCGTCTTTTCAATAAATCACTTCATCAGCCGTGAATATTTTTAAATTATTGATTTTGTCCAGAAAGGGAATTTCGTATTACTCAAAGATTGAATCGGTATAATTTGGGGAAAATTCTATTTAAAACATCTACTTACGTGTGTTTGTTGTCCCACGTGGAAAAGCATAGACCGTCTACTGCCATTCTCCATCCAAGTCTGTTCTGGAGTCGCCTCCCTACTTAATTCCTGTTACTATTCATCCCTTACATGTCTGCTTCCAATTACCAACACAATGTGTTCCTTGTTCTTCCAATTGTTCTTTTACCTTCAGGATTCCAAGTTAGCACTTGTTTCGTGATGCACTTCGATAATTTCCGTAGTATATTTCCTATCCACATACTACATCTTTTACTTATATCCTCTTCAGATGGAATCTGGTCTGTTCTCTCAAACAATAGACTGTTGTTGATGGTTTCCG